TATCCTTGTTTTATTTACAAGAAAGATTCATTGTATACATATTATTATATATTTACAATTTTTATGTCTTTCTAAAATACAAATTCAACTATCTAAAGATGAATTTATCCTTCTTACTGATCAACTTGTTGCCACCCACTGCAGGGCCTAACATGCCAAGGATTGCTAATTAATGTTGAAATTAGAAGAGAAGAAAAAGAAAAAAATTGTGAAAGGATTTGTGATTCCTTTAAATGACCAATCTATGTAGCGATTAACCAGGTTTACATATTGGTCTTTGATTAGTAGTTCAGATAATATGGCATCTGATAGTGGTTGTACTTAAGTATGGCTTTTAGAATGTTTGTCTTTTTTGGTGAGGTTGTTTGTCGTTTCCCATTCTACAGTGTATTTACATCGCTTCTTCCATATTGAGTATAGGAATTCTCTATATTGATTTATACACTTTTGAAGTATAAATTGTAATGTTGTATGTGAGTCAGTGCAGTTGTTGATTGTAAGGGTGATGTCTTTTCTGATGATGCCTTTGATAAGATCTAAGATCGCTTGGTCAAATTTGTTAAAAGACATGTCCCTTATTATGTGATGGAGAGGAGGAGTGGTAACAGATGCTTTGCAGTTTTTCATATTAAGTGTAAAGATGCTTGTTAGTTTTCACCTGTGTATTTTCCATGTTGTAGTACATAAGAAGGCATGGAAAGTAGTTTCTGTTTTATGACATTTAGTGTACTCTTTGTTTCTATATATGTGTGGTTTGCATCGGTTCAGTTTGGTCATGGTGGATAGTTCATCATTCTAGAGTACTGTGATCAGTTGTAGATGTGTTTTTATGATTAATGTTGCTGGGGTTGAGGCAGTTGAAGGTGTTTTGCCAGTTTATTATTTTTTTTTTCTGTGTTGATCCATGTTCTATTCCTTCTAAGGAGTTTCCATTGGACTAGATGTTTGATGTGAAATATTGTTTTGCAGAAATCTTTGATTGACACATCTATTATGTTGTGTCTCCATGTGGCATAACATAAGTTGTTTTGTGAATTGATAGTGGAGTTAAGTTCTCTTTGTTTTGGCATCATATTAATGTAGTTGATTTTTGCCAGTTGATCAGCAGTTTCATTGCCTATGATGCCTATGTGTGCTTTTACTTTGTGTAGGAAGAGTTGGATTCGATAGTCCTTGCATCTCTATATTATGATGAGTGTAATGCTCCAATTCCTGGTATTTCTAATGGCTTTGTAGGCTGGAGTATGTGTGGCTTTGTTTATTGCATCAATAGACACTTGACTATTTGTGTGGACTTCAATTGTAGCATTTCTGGGAATTGTTAGGATTATTGTGAAGATTGCCATTAGCTCTGCCCTGGTTGAGAATGGTGAGCCTTGTACCTGTCCTTTAAATGTGTGATGTTGGTTTAGTTGATTAGTGAGGATCCAGCCAAATCCCATGTGGACAAAAATGTTGAAGTGGTCCACTATACTCTTTATTAATTGTATTTTTCGCAGATTATACATATTAATATGTTTGTATATATTTGATTTACATGGTAAATGTAAACTATATAAACTATTTACATTAAGTAAATTACTATCTACATATAATATATAAAAACAACTTATACTGTACTAAGGTATATAATAAGGGTACATGATACTTTCTTAATTTTTTCTGGAACAATTTTTAAAAGCAATCCAGTTATCAGACCGTTGTATATACTCTAACCTGTACTATAGATTTTAAGTATTTTGATATGGTGTGCGAATTACTTCTCCCACCAAGGTCTCCTGATAAAAAGCATTACCCATATTTATGCATGCTGATTAGCATCCTACCAGTTTAATATTTACTTTTTTAATCAAAACAGGGGCCCCAATCCCAGTCAGGAGTTGTTTCCCTTAAGAGGTTACAGTATCTGCTTTTGAATACAGAGTCATGTACTTGCAGATCTAGACCATCTCAAATCAGGTTGTTGAGCTGGGCCGTGATAGGTCTTAATGTTTTTTGAAACCTGCTTCTCATGGTTAAACCAAAATAATCATTGGACGGCTCATAGTTATTGACATCAAATTTACCTTTAACAGTAGTAATCTGGTAGTTGCCAGGTAGATTGCCATCATGCTCAATCAGATTTTGGACATTCATTTCAATTGAATAAGCCAGATGATTAGTCAAAATGCTATATCTGATTCCCTAAATACCTTCTGATGCTACTTCATGTTGTGAAGAAGGAGGTTCGAGAGTGATTGCTTTATGCTTCACTTTTTTCCATAAAGTTTCAACTGTTTCAACCTCCATAGTTGTTTGTGTTGTGCCTTGTTTGTGTGTCTCATTGTAGTGTTTCTTCTTGGCGGTATGGCTGGTAAAGTCAAGGCTACACTCTGAACACTTGCATGGTTTAGGATGTGGAGGTTGTTTTCTTGTGTTTTGCTTGTCAGCAGGCATACCAGGTTTTTTGCCACCCTATTGTTTACCTTTACTAGGTCGACATTTTCTTTTCTTGTTAGAAGAGCCTGGTGCAGGTTGTGTAGCAAGGACTTGTCATTTAAAGTTACTAAAACAGACCGAAGAAGCTTAACCTATCCACTTGGAAAAGAGCTCCTTTACTTGAAATAATTGATCGATTGGTCCCATGTACTTGAATATAGCACCATATGGAAAGCTTATTTCCACTAAGATATTCACTATCATTGTGGTTTGGATATAAACAAAAAATAAAAACAATGTTCTCCCTCTCTTTCAAAAATTTCCTAATAAGAAAATTTTTATGAATTTTAATAAAAGTGAAAAAGAGTTTTTTTTTTTTTGAAAGATGTCATGCCATGATTTATGTTGCTGGGGTTGATAGATTGAAATGTTCCTTGCCAGTCTGTGACTGAGTTTTGGATTCGATTGATCCAGTCTCTATTTACTGTATTTTAAATAATCTTTATTGTGCCAACTGTTTGATGTGAAATATCTGCTTATAGAAGGTTTTGATTGACATGTCAATAATGTTGTCTCTCCACATTCCTACTGTATGAATGTGCTTGGTATTTAGAAGGCTGTGTGTTAGCCTAGACCCAGGTTTCATATTGAGGTAATCAATTTTAGCTAGGGAATCAGCTAATTTGTTTCCTATGATGCCACTGTATGCTCTAATCCTATATAGAAAGAATTGGATGTTATATTGGTTGCATCTATCTATTATGAGTTGTATAAGGCACCAATTTTTTATTGTTATAACTGTCTGCTGTAGAGGACTGTTGGATGCTTTATGTATAGTATATATTGTAGCTTGACTATCTATGTATATATTGATAAGTGAGTTTGGAGGAATGGTTACAATTACTGTGAATATTACCATTAATTCTACTCTGGTGAAGAAAGGAACCTTGTATTTGTTCTTTGAACTTATGGTGGTTATTGACTTTATTTGAGAGTATCCATTCATTATCTATATATTGGTGGTTGTTAATGCAGATCATTGAACTATTTATATATGCAACAAAGTTGTGTTTGTTGTTGTTGGAGATAGAAATATTGGCTAGTTCATTGAAGATTTTATCTTTTGCTAAGATGAGATTTTTTAAATCTTCTATAGTATCTAATTGTAGGTTAATATAGATTTGAACTCTTGAGGCACATGGAGTGAATTTATTGTTAAAAAAGTTTATTCTGCTTTGTGAACTGTGAGCTGAAAGTTGAATTTTGTAGTGGAGATTATTATTCAAGGTGTTACTGAAACTCTTATATTTGTATACCACTAGAACTTGATAGGCTTGCTATATTGTCCTTGAAAAGGAGCATATATTTGTGATTGATGTACTTTCATTAATGGAGCACCCACTGCATTGTGTTAAAGAGGAGTTGCCTTGAATTCCTTTGTAATATGTGTATAAGATCTTTTTGTAGGTGTTCCTTTTCCTTTGTTTTTATTTTCATCCAATTGTTTCTATTGAATGATATATAGTGATGACCCAATGTTTTTTTTCTGGGTGTTGTATTGATATGTAAATATGAAATGGATTCTGGGAGCTTTTGGAGTCAATAAGTTCTTTATCCAGTAATTGTTGGAGGGTAGGAATAATTTTTGAATACCATTTTGGATTTGCAGTATAGTGGTTGTAATGGTATTTAGGAATTAGATGCCAAGTAAAATTCTTGTACAGTCTTCATTCATTATTTGGTATATTAATAATAGGTTGTATTTGTGCAAACAAAAAAAAAAAAAAAAAAACTCTTTCTCATACACATCAGATTTTTGAAAATTTCCTTTTTTGGAAATTTTTTTTTTTTGCAAAAAATGGACTTCCAAGCATTGAGTTTTACTTACAATATGACACCAAAAACTATATTAACCAAAAACACTCAAATATAAGGCCAAATATAATATATGCAATATTAGGAAGTCATTTCATCATTATGTATCTTAGTTAAAGGAAAACTTTATTAAATGTAAACTAAAAGCAGACAACTCTGAGTTGTCAGTAAAGGAAAAAGACAACCTTTAAATATATGTTTTCCCCATATAAATAAATATAATAAAAATACATGAAATAATATACATATAATCTTAGTGATTGACTCAAAAGATCATATGCATGTAATTAATAAAAAGAAAAAGACAATATGATAAAGACAATCATAATGAAAACAACTATTACTATAAATATATTGATGTTTATCTATATGCTATTAGTAATTCGGGTCTCACGTCACCTCAGAGTTTCGGGATCAGCAGTCTGATCATGTGATCTGAAATATCATATGTTCTAGCAAATCATTAGTGTTTTATGGCTAGAAGTCTAAATCCTTGATTATCTTGAAATTCTATTTGACAATATCTTTCCGGCCTTTAAGAAAAGATGTTTGTCTCACCAATATACCCATAGTTTTCTAAGACCGTTTTAGCAGTTGACATCCGATTTTCAGATGTAAAGTCATGCTTTCTTTGGGTAACTTAAGTAAACTTGTTATATTAAACAACTCTAAACACTTATCAAACACAACAAAATAACACAAGAAACATGGAGGTTGATGAGCAACAAACCCCATCCAAAAGCACTCTTAAAACGAACCTGAGAAGCTCAACACTATCATATAATGATAGATACAACTCTAATAAAACAAGCACTTCTTCAAATAATAATAACAACACAAATTATAACACAAAAGTAGGATGAATTTATCAATCAATACTACAAGTACAGAAACATCCCCAAACAATAAAAAAGACAATGAAAGCAACCTATCTACTTCACGTGGCTTCAGTAACACGGATAATCAATATAATGATTGGTTTGAGTAAATATAAGTACTTCAACCCTTCTTCTTCTCTTCCAACGAATCTTTTAAACAACAAAACTCATTCTCCTTCTCAAACAATAAACCAACTAACTGGTTTATTGAATATGGCAGAAAATGTTTCAAGATGTACATTCCTATAACAGAGATCCCTGGCAAAGATGACAACAGCAAACTTAAACTTCTACAAAAATTCTTATCAAGATTGAAATCATTTACATTGATCAGAATCAACAAATCCCAAGAAGGAAGTAATATTACAGCCCTGTTTGGATCTGAAACAGATGCAGAAAAAGTCAAAAATATTAAACTTGATGATGATATAACCATTAACATGCAACCACTACCAGTATATAATGGGATTAAAGCCAAAAACAAGACAATCAGAGCATGGGATATACTCTTCAACCTATATTTGCAGATATCCATGCTAGATTTTCCTAATTTGGTGAAATTAAATCAATCAAAATGCAAATAATTGGCATGTGGCAATTAGCCAACATCAAATTCTGCAAGCAACAAGATTATGACAAAATTAGTAACCACTGGGCTATTCTCTTCAAAGCTGACCTAATCAGAATTTTTCCCTTCCTTAATATGAATCAAATCAAAGAAGAAAGAAGTATCTATACACTCAATCTCATTAACCTTCTTCCAGGTATCACAGGTTTCAACCTCAAAAAAATAATCCAAACAACAAAAGCACAAACCTGTTTTATTTCATAAACCATTAGCTATAAAAGAAAGAAATTTGCGTTCCTTAGTTTCAAAGATGAAGAAACTCCATTCCAAGCAAAAAACACCCAAACCTTCCTAGGTAACACTAAACTAGCATGGGCAGAACTATCAGAAATATATTGCAACATCTGCTCTAGCATAGACCATATTCTCAAAAACTATTTTACAAGAGCACTTCAACAATAATTAGTAGAACAGAAAAAACTCAATACCAAGAAATTTGACCATTTATATACAAGATTCAAATCAGCAGGCATACCAAAAACAAAAAACAAACCATCCCTGAAAAGATTATTCGCACAAGTAGTTAAATATAACCAAAAATTAACAGAACTATACAATACAAATCAATCTCCTCTAATCGAAAACCCACACTGAAAGACATCTACAACATTCTCAAACACCTCAGCAATGAAGTCCTTTCGATCAAACAAAACCTCAACACACTCAACCAAAGAATTGACAATTTGAAAGATGAAACGAATGAATTATACAACAACCTATCTGAGGAAAACCTCCATGAAATAACCACCAACATCAACCAAGACATTGAAGATTCCTTCAGCACTATCTCAAGCACATCCAGAAAAGGACATGCAACTAGCCCAGCACAAGACATCAGAGTAAAACAAGAAAAACTCTCCAATCAAATGAACAACATTGAAAATTCAATTGCCCAAATGACCTTATCTTAGGAACAACTCATCTAATTGAATCTAACTCTTACACAAAACACAAATCCCCAGAATCCATTAAAACAATGAATCGCAACACTCAATTATCAACAAACATTTATTTACCAATTCTCGCAACTCAATCCTTATCACTGACAACCTCTACCTTCATCTACAGATCTCCTAACAATAATCCACCCACATATAACAACACACAAGAACTAAACAATTCACAACACAACCAAACTAGTTTAATATGAAAAATCTGCTTCAGAAATATTAGAGGCTTATCTGTTGAATACAAACATAATATATGGTTCGAATACTGCAATAGCAACAAATGGGACATCATAATCACTACAGAAATCAATGGAAATTACATCATCCAAATACTGGATCTTCAATACTTTTAAAACCTAATGGACACACAACTCAGTACACATTGGGCAAGGCATCACCATAAGTCTAATTCATAACTTGCAACCAGTGTTTTTTATCACCAAGAAATTCCTGAAAGAATGATCGCACTGGATCTCTCATTTCCAAGGAAAAAATTCGTCAGAATAATAGGTATCTACATTTCACCCTTCAACCACACTCTCAAGATGTCCATTCATAAAAAATGTAAAGAACTTATAATAGAAGCACACAACAAAAACTGGTCAACAATAATTAGAAGAGATTTTAATGAAGTGACCAACCCCTCTATGGATAAACAAACCCCTAACCATCAACCAAATGACAGATCACCAAGCAATTTTATTAATTTTCTTCAAGAAAATAACTTAATGGACTTATTCAGAGAAATAAATAAATATTTCAAATATCTGCAAACAAAATTTGGAACCTAACAGAAGCCTACATAGACAAAAATACAATGTCATTAATAAATAGTGATCATGAAACTATAATTTGTCATCTAGAAACATGGCAACTTACAATATCAGCTTATCAAATACACTTATATAGAAAATGCAATTACAACTGGCTTCAAACCTCAGAGAAAAACTGGCAGAAATTCCAACAAGCAATCAAAGCAGCAATTTCAAAACACGAAATCACACCCAGGATAACCAACAACCAATAGAATTTCTTTAAAAACACTATCCTGAAAGCAGCAAACAAATTCATTAAAAAGATCAAACACTGTAGCAGATTTATCTATGACCAGACCACACCCTCTCTAATTTTCAACAAAATAACTGATATACTCAAACTTCTCTAATTAGTAAAACAAGTAAAACAGGCATCTTACAACTTCAATATGACCAAATTACAAGAGTGAACAATCTCTCTTCAAACAATCTTCCCTCAAATATCAAAACTACCAACCATTAGCATCAACACTATCCAAAATGTAGAACTCAACAACTGGATCCAAGAACTCAACTCAATTTTAATCAAACTCAAAACAGCACATCAAATAATCACCAAATACAAAACAAAATAATGAATCACAACAGCAATATCCAGGAGACTACAATACATGAACAGTAACAAACATGCAATACTCAATAGTATTTTAAAAAAACTACACAGACACATTACTCTAAACAAAATCATAACAGAAGACACCATCCCAAGAATTATAATTGAACTATTCCAGATCAAAGATATAATCAGAGCATATTTTTATCTTTGGACAACAAAAAGAAACACACAAACAATCACCCAATTTCCAGAATGGGAACAAGAATACAAATCGAAACTCAACATCAACAACAATTGGTACAATTCCACAACACATCCCATCACTAAAGAAGAAATACTCAAAATCATTCACACCAGAAGCAACACATCATTCCCAGGTCCATTAAAAATTCCCTTTATCATCTTCAAGAAACTAGACCCCAAAGAAATCTCTCTTTTTACAGATCTTTGCAATAACACAAAAAAAAAACTCTTTCTCGTACTGATCATATTTTTGAAAATTTTCTTTTTTGGAAATTTTCTTCTTTGTGCAATAACAGATTCAAAGCATAGAGTTTTGAAAATACAACATGCCTCCAAAAGCTTTCTTGACCAGACAAAGACAAATACAAGGCTTTAGAGCCAACAGTTTAAACAGAACAACAACAAACAAAACACAAAACATGGAGCTAGAAGAATCTCAAACTTCTTCCCAAAACACCTTGAAACTTAACTTCAAAAACAAACTAAACATCAAAACAAACACTCATAACCAAACACCAAATAATATACTATCATCTCTATATGGGTTTGATACAGACAATGACTTTATTGACGACTAGTTTAAAAACACACAAACAAGCCAAAACACATCACAAATAGAACTTGAACCAAACACTGAAAAAGTACAATCTTTCTCTCAACACAATCAAGGTCCAATCAGCTGGACTATAACATATGGAAGAAAGTGATTTAAAATGACCATCGAAACAAATGAAGTACCTGAAAAAATAACAAGGAAAAACTCTAAATTATTTAAAAATCACTCTCGCACTTGAAATCCTTCATCTCCATTCGATTGAATAGATCCAATCAAGGCTTCACTATCACAGCATTTTTTGGGGTAGAATCAGATGCCAAAAAAGCTAAACATATTAAAATTGATGATAACCTCACTATTTATATAAAGCAAATTCCTATTTACAATGGCGTGGAAACAAAACATAAGACAATCAGAGTATGGAACATTTCTCTAAACATATCACATACAGATATTCATGCAGCTTTACCAAGTTTGAAGAAATTAAAGCCATAAAAATGCAGACAATCGGCATGTGGCAATCAGCAAATATTGAATATCACCAATAATATGATTATAACCAAATTAGCAAAAGTATCTAAGTAGCTTTGTAATGTAATAGTGTAGCCTTTGCATTTTTCAGATATTGTGGTAAGAAGAGGATCATAAAAGATTCTTTATAAAAGTGGGGATATAGTATCACCTTGATCAATGCCATCTTATACTTCATAGGGATTTATAGGGCTGAAAGTGGTGAGTACTATATTTTGTCGATGCTGAAGTAAGTTGATGATTATATCTATAATCTTTGTAGGAACTTTGATTCTGTGTAGTGATTTTTGAAGCATCTGTATGGATACTGAGTTATATGCTTTGCTCATATCCAAGCTTAATATCCATACTTGTTAAGAGTTTTGCTTGACATATTCAATGATATTTTGGATGATGTGAATGAATTCTTGTATGCTGCATCCAGGGAAAGCTGCCCAGTTGAGTGGTGATAGAATAGGAAATTGTTAAAGAATTTTTGAGAGCCTGCCATTGATGTATTTTGTGAAAATTTTCTGACAGGTTTCTAACAATGTTATAGGTCTAGTAATGCTAATATTATTGTTCCAGAACTTTGGTTTTGGGATTGGATAAATTGAGCCTTTTTTCCATTTGGTGGGAATTGTACCTGTATATAAAATTTTGTTGAAGAGATCTGTTATGAATTGAATTGCTTGAGGCCCTAAATTTTTGTATACAATATATGGAATTTGTGAAGAACCGGGTGCAAAGACATTGTTTCTAGATTTGATGATCAGTTGAACTTCTTTGTTTGTAAAGGGTATAAGCATGTCAGAGTACTAGTGATTTTCAATACTTTGTTTAAACATGTATGCTTCTATCCATTGCAGCCAGTTTTGGATATCATGTGTGTCTCTTTTTTTTTGTTCATTTTGCAAAGTGATCCTTTGCAATTTGTTTAATTTGTGTTGGATCTGTAGTAATGGTAATTGAGGGGTCTGTTGTGATCAGTTTGTCCAGGATAATGTGATACTGTAATCTGTTTATTATTGAATTTATCATGGCTTTTTTGTTATATGCCATAAAATCCATTCTTTTGTCAATTGCACATTTTATTTTTTGTCTTGTCCTATAGTTGTTTATCATTTGTAATGTAGTCTTGAGTTGTCGGGTTGTCTGTGTTAACTTTATATGCTATGCTATGAGTGTTGAAGTATTATTTTGTATATTCCATGTTGGGGGCATGAGATATCGTGGTGTTTGTTTAGAAGCTGCTTTGCTTGTTGGTGCAGAAAATTCCAGTTTTCTAGTGTTGAATTAGTTATTGTTTTCTGGCTGATTTGGAGAAGTTGTTGAAGGGCCATGATTTTTGCTAGTAATCGGATAAGGGAAGGTTGGTTGATCAGATTGTGCTTTCTATTTTTGACTTTCTTGATAAATTTATGTACTGCTTTTAGAATAGCGTCTTTGATAAGATTCTATTGTGCATCGATGCTTTGTTTGTTTGTTTGTTGAGCTGTGATTCTGTGTTCCACTTCTGTTTAAAATTTTCCCAGTTTTTACTTGATGTGTAGGTCCAATTAAATCTGTTACTTTTGTTGTTGTGTATTTGAGCGATTGGCATTGTGAGGTGCCATACTTCTAGAAGGCATATTGAGGCTATGTGGTCACTGGAAATCATTGGTTTTGTATCTTTATCAATGAAAGCCTCAAAGATGTTCCAGTTTTCATGTGCTAAGATCCAATTCTGCTTGCATTGTTTCTTGAGTTACTCTATATAAATTCTTGTTGGTGTGGATTGATATGTCTATATGAGTCAATAAAACCATGTTCTTGAAGAAAGTGAATCATTTTGTTTGTTCTATTTGGAGTATGATTTGAACATTTGTTCAGTAAGTGATTGCTGATTTCGTTGAGATTGTCTGCAAGGATTATGGCCCAATTCTTGTTTAATGCTTCTACAATGAGTTCTTTGCACTGTTATTGTATTGTGTTTCTGTGTTTGTTGTTGAAGTGTGGAATATATGCTCTGATTATTTGAATATAAGTTGTTCTTGATAATGCTAGATCTAAAGAGAGTATTCTACCAGGATATTCTTTTTTTGTCAAAGACTCGATTAGCAAGTGTTGTTGTTAGACTGATTGCTACACCTTGGCCATATATTGATGTACTATGAGACTATCAAGTCTTGTAGGGGTAGTATTGCCAGTATTTTGCAGCTTCTATATTGCTGTCTGTTTCAGTTGTGATGACTATATCCCATGATTGTTGTGACAGTATTGGAACCCTAGTTGACATTTTGTTTCATTAGATAGTCCTTGTATATTTCTGGCGCAGATGTGTCAGGTGTTGTTGGTAGATATATTAGTTGTTGAGTATTGTGTGTCATATGTGTTTGGGGAATTGATGATGTTGATGATAGTTGTGTTTGCAGATGAGTTTGGAGTAAGGTGTTGTTAGGGGAGAG